AATATAAAATAAAAAAAAATCGACCTCTACAACTTTATACAAAACTTTGGATACAGCAGATTGATGGAAAAAGATCTTCCATTCAGTGCTAGAATACCTGGCTACAGTAAAATAATTACAAGGCAATAAATGTTCTATTTAATATTAAATACCTTTTCTTGATTAAAAAAAAAACAAACAAAAAAGGGATTTTCTTTAAAGTCAGGTACTTAGAGGCTTTCCAGACACAGAATTTAATATATACTTTTAAATAGAATGCATATCAGAAGACAGCTTATTTCTGAATGGGGGAGGTTTCTTGGAGCTCTGCTGTGATCTTGAATTTTGGAAAGCTATTGCTTCTCAGGCTGCGTGGATCCAGGAGCTCTTCGTCGTGCTCTGCAGGGGAGGTACCAAGGATTTTGCTCCGATTCTCTCCAGCCACAGGTTTGAGTGACAGGGCCGCGTTCCATGTTCTGTACGAGGGGTCTTCCACCCATTTTATTGCTCCTTGCAGTACCGTGTACTGCTCTTTCCCATGGATAGAGTGAGTGGAGTAGAAGACGCAGCTTTAATGGTTTATATGTATTTCTATGTTACGTCAGTGATGCATGAGAAGTGGTATTGGGACTTTGTTATCGGTCCTCATCATCGATGGAGGAGCCCACCAGGACAGAGATAATATTGATCTTTTTCATTTCAAGGGTCAATACGCCATGAAAGCGTAAGGCCAAAAGGAGGGATGTGTGGTCAAGGAGGGGGATGTGGCCTGGGGAGCAGCTGGAGGGATGACCACTGATTCCTCTGCACTGAGATGGGCCATGGGATGTGCGTGGCCACACCTGGGGCGCAAGTCCCTGCTAATGGTACAGAGCCTCTGTGCTTGACACGGACCCCTCGGGGATGAATTTGCTGGTACCTCGAGAACTCCTAGGAAGGAAGGGGTCTGCCTGGGATTGTGCTGTTGGATAAAGGTCTCCCTTCCCTGTCTGCCCTTGCCTCTCTCTTGCTGGACAAAGGGTTTTGAACAAGGCGGCTTGGACAGACATTTCTTCTTGCCATGGCTCCCATCTCCTTGTCCATTCCTGGTGCTCAGAGCTGGTGTAGCAGCTCGCCTGGCAGGTGCCCTGTCCCCAGAGAGATGCTCTGAGCTCGCTCAGGGATATAAAGTCATATTAGGGAACGCTTAGGTGCATCAACTGGGTAGATCTACCCGGATCCTTAAAAATCTCTCTTGGGCAGCTGCGCGGTGAGGAGGCTCCTGGGGTAGTGATGCATCCCTGGGCAAGAGGTGGCAGCCTCACCACGTGTGGCCTGCTCTTATCTTGGGCCAAATGCCAGGGGATCAGCTCTAGGTTCCTGCTGTCCTCCTCAGGGGGATTATAGGAGACGATTTGGGGCTGTGGGGAGCAGAAAGGGGAGGTGAAAGGGGAGACTGGCTGTAAGGCTCTGTTCGTGTGCTCAGACAGGTTTGTTTCTCCAACATCATCTCGGAGCAGGAAGAAAGGAGCCTGCCAGGTGTGGGGGGCTTGGCTCCTTTCCTCCTCCTCACCACGTCTGCTGAGACCAGGATGGCCGTGCCAGCAGGCAGCGGGACCTGTATTTGCTCAGCTTTCGCTGTATAAAATTCATTTGCACCTGACACCCTGCATTGGCACCTACGTGGGCCAGACCTCCGGAGGAGGACAGAGCTGGAAGCTCTGTGCGTGCGGTGTTAGCAGCACACTGACTGGTGCGGCCGTGCCTCGCTTGGACCCATGCTGTCCTCACTTCTCCCCAGTCTGTCATGCCAAACAGCCTGAGAAGAATCAGCGGATCGGTGATCTAATGTGACTGCAGTGTCAGGTCTAGCCTGGGACCACCTTGTGTGGGTGAGATACCGCAAGCGTTCTCTGCAGCGGGTGCTGGCTATGTGAGGGTGTCTGCCCTGACCAAGGGCACTAGGATTTTTTTATGCCATCCTCTGAAGCGTGAGACCACGACGTAAGGGCTGATCACAGGGTTGATGGACACCTTGGCCCTGCTCTGGAGCAACCTCCCATCAGCTGGAGACCTATTACCTACGTTTACTTGCAGGTGTGGACATCGTAGACGCGTACGCACTCCTGGCAGCTCACGTAGCAGCACCAGTGGAAGATGCAGTGACACTTCTCCTTCCGTTTCTCAGTCCTGGTGTTGTGGCCACGACCGCAGCACAGCAAGTCGCAGCCATCGATCCCATGGGAAGTGACGTTGCATGTTCTGTCCCTCGTCCCAAAGGAGCCTGTCTCTGGGTTGGGCTCACAAAAATTGGGGGAGTTCTCATAGTAGACCAGATCCCGCTCCGTCGGTGGCTTGAAAAGAGCATACTTGGCCCTCAGAGTTTCTACCCATCCCCGAGATTCTCGGTGCTTTTCAACCACCATCTCAGAGGCGCTGTCATATTTATCCTTCAGGTAGTCACCAATTGCCCGGAAATCAGGCTGGGCCCACCAGCAGGTCTTGACCTCGCAGCTTCCCGAGAGACCGTGGCACTTGCACTTCAGGTGCATGTGATCCAGGATGGTCTGTCCAGGGGAGAGAAAACAAGGTGGTCAGCAGCAGCTTACGGTGCCCAGTGTGTGCTTTCAATCACCCGCCTTTGCTACCTGGGTTTAAACATCTGATCTGAGCTTGGTCTGGAAAGCGTAGGGTTGGGTGTTGAATAGTGTAGGCTTGGGTGTGTGGCAGAAACATCTCTAGGCAGAGAAGTCACAATAGAAGAGTGTGACTGAGATGGGCAGCTGCTCTGATCATCTATCCAATGCAATCCAAACCAGTGTAATCTAATCCAATCTAATCTAACCCCAAGGTCTAGATCCTTTCAGTGGGGTCCTCCCCGTCATGTCTGTGTGAACAATCAGAGCCCAGAAAGTTGAGGGTTGGAGGATGTCTGACACGTGTGGATGTGGACTGACCCCCTTGTCCTAGCTTTGCTAACAACCCTTCATTTTATGCCCTGAGTCTGACAGTTTGCACTAGAAAATAAATGAAATTGTGAATCTAAGGGCGTGACACTCTCTCTTCCCCAGAAACCTCCTCTAGAGCAAAAGAAACACTGATTTTTGTTAAAATTATTAGAGTTTGGGTGGTATTTTACAGGAAGCTGTCAGTCATTAACACGTTAGAGATTCAAGCTTCTACCCTTCCACCTCTACCTGCTGTGGTATGGAAAAGCAGTATCTAGTGTTTGCTTCAAGCATTGTTTGAAAGGTCTCGCTGTAACACGGTTGAAGCACGCTGGGTTTGCAAATGACCTAGAGCAGTTGTGGCCCAGGAACCTGCTGCCAGCAAGAGTAGAACATTTCAGTTGGAAGGGACCGACAACGATCATCTAGTCCCACAAATCACTGGGTGGGACAGGTTACAATGGAGAGCATGAAGGAAGGAGTAGCTTGGGAGGAAAGTCCTCTTCACCGTTGACATGGGTCTTGGGCAGTTGATTTGGACTTCTACATGCTGCCTTGGGAGATGTTTGTGGTGGAAGCAAGGCATGTTTTAGCTCTTCTTAACCCTCACCCATCTGGTGAGAGTGGAAATGCTGTGCCCTGGAAAATAATCCTAGAAAGCTCCTGCCCAGGCATTATCATGATCCTGCTACATCAGGGGGAGCCAGACTGGGCCATCCATGCAGGCATGGATGACCAGTTCTGGACCCTCTGAGCACTCACCGTCCTCCCAGCCTCGTTGTTGTGTCTGTTCATGGCTGAGCGGGCGTCCGGCCGGTTCTCTCGGGCATCTGCGAATTCCCGGGACACCAGCACGCCGAAGTCGGCATCCTCACTGCACCCCCCCCATTTCCAGCCATCTCCTGGAGGTCCTTTGTGGTGGGAGTCACAGCCGCAGATCGTGGACGTGCCCTCGGCACAGGAGCGGGTCACAGCGAAGGCCACCCCTGCTGATGCAATGGCATGGACAAAGGCAGACTCTCGTGTGGCTGCGAATAAACAGAGTAGGTGCGATTGTCACTTTTGTTTTCCTTCCCAACCTCCTTCAGCATCATCTAAATCTCATTAAAAAGCAAAAAAGTTATTTTATTAATTTTTTAATGAACATTTTCTGAATCAGGTGCTGCTGGCATCGCCCCTTGAAGCACACAGGCAGGAGTGGGTGGGAGAGACGTGTGACTCCAGCTCTGTGCATCACAAGTGCAGCCTTTCCCCCAAATACAATGGGTGAAGGGTTTGATCCAGCACGGGTGCCCATGTGTAGGCAAAATGTCAGTGAGAGCTTGAAGGACCTCAGAAGAGAGTTACTGGAGTAACACCTGGTCTGGAAACCCAGAGAGGGACTCCATGCCTGGAGTTAGTCGAAGGGGAGGTGAAGCAGCTCCTATACATGCTGAAGCGGGGAAAGGGTTCAGGTGATACAGGACAGGCAATGGCAGAACAAAGCCTAAGAGCTAGTAGTTACTGTTCAATATATCTAGCCTAAACTATGTCTAGTGACTTTACAGCAATGGAGTAAAACCAGCCAAGGGTGTGAAGATAACCTTGAAGTTGCTCATTAATTACTGAACAATCCTGAAGGAAATCAAAGCAGGTGAAACCCAAGTCTCTTCTTTGACTCTAACTATTGGCTTGGTCCAGTTGCAATGAATGAGTTTTGACAGGTCCAAAGGAGCAAAGCTGGAGAAAGTCCTGAAAGCATTGAATGCTGAAGAAAGGGTGAAATAAATTGCCCAGGATGCCAAGGCAGATTGACAGCTGGGAACAGGAGCATGTGTGGATCCTCAGTGCTAAGAGAGAGAAAATGTTTCAGCAGAACAAAGATACCTGGGCAGGGGGTGGGGACAAAACAGAAAATCCACATCAAGATGAAGGTACAATGGGTTTGCTGAACTGCAGCACCTCTGTCCATCACCTCTTCCACCTGTGACCATGGCAGGGTGACTTTCAGCCCTTCCCTTCCTGATCATTCTGTGGGGCCCTGACCTGGACTTTGGACAGCAGTGGCTGAAATG